TCTTCTGGATTTCTAGCTGTAGGTTATGTATCATTTCTAATTTTTCATTTATTTTGTCATTTTTTTCTTGTATTGTCTTTGGAAATTGCAGGATTTTCTGTGTTTCCCTCAATTTTGTGTTTTCCTTGATCTGCCTCTCAATCATTGAATATATTTAAATATAATTCTTTGGAATTCCTTATCAGGGAGTTCCAATGCTGCATCTTCCTCAGGGATGTGTTTTGGGTCTGTATCCCTGGTCCCTCATTTCCACCGCTTTAGCTTGCTTTTTTTGCGTGGACTGTGATGCTCTGTTGTCTCCGAGGCATTGTGACATTTTTGTGTTTATATTTAGTGATTGTATGTTGGAGTGACTTGCCCACGATTTTCATTTTCTTTGTTTTGTTTGTATGTTATCTATGTAAGCAGGGTACTGTGCTGTGCTCCTTTGTTCACTAGCTAACAGCACTTATACCCTCAACACCTGTCTCCTTTCCTGTTGTCAGCCTCTTATATGTCCCTGCCGACCTTGGCAAACAGAGCCTATTCTTAGGTCCCTGGAATTGAACGAGAATGCTATCACTTTAAAATCCAAAATGTTTGCCACTTGTGAAGATTCAAAATGGCTGCATCCTCAGTCACTTTAAATAACCAAAATGGCCACCACTTGTAAAGATTCAAAATGGCTGTGCCCTTGGTCACTTTAAATATTCAGAATGGCCACCAGTTGTAAACAATCAAAATGGCTGTGCCCTCTGGACAGTGGAAAGTCAACAGCTCAGGTTGTCTCCCTCCTTGCTGTTTCCCTTCCTAGTCATAGGCCACCAGCACAGTCATCCCTGCAGCCCTTGGTGACCAGGATTGCTCTTTAGCTGTCTTCCAAATCTCCTGGCATAACCAAATGAGTGCCTCTAGTGGGGCATTCCTTTGTTAAAACATCTCAATGGGTAGTCTGTCAATTCCTTCACCAATTTTCTTCACCAATTCCTTCAGTGCTAATTTGACTTCTTCCTTCAATATTATTGGCTTTGATCATATGTCACCTCCTGAAACGGATGAATATCGACTACTTCTTTTAGTACACTTTGTGTATTCCTTCCATCTTCTTCTGATGTTTCCTACATCACTCAATATTTTGCCCATGAATCTTTCAATATTGCAACTTGGGGCTTAATTTTTTTCCTCAGTTATTTCAGCTTGAGAAATGCTGAGCATGTTCTTCCCTTTTGGTTTTCTAACTCCAAGTCTTTGAACAATTCATTATAGTAATTGGCTCTGTCTGCTTGAGCTGCTCTTTGAAATCTTCTGTTCACCTCCTTTGTCTTGTCATTTCTTCCATTTGCTTTAGCTACTCTCCACTCAAGGGCAATTTTCAGAGTCTCTTCTGACATCCATTTTGGTCTTTTCTTCCTTTCTTATCTTTTTAATGACCTCTTGCTCTCTTCATGGATGATGTTATTTATATCATCCCACGATTCCTCTGTTTTTCAGTCACTTGTGTTCAATGCATCAAATCTATTCTTTAAATGGTCTCTAATCAGGAGGGATATTATCAAGGTCATATTTTGGCTCTCATGGACTTGTTTTAATTGTCTTCAAGTTCAACTTGAACGTGCATATGAGCAGTTGATGGTCTGTTCCACAATCAGCTCCTGGTCTTGTTTTGGCCGAAGATATTGAACTTCTCCATTGCCTCTTGCCACAGATATAGTCAATCTGATTCCTGTGTATTCCATCTGGCAAAGTCCATGTGTGGAGTCGCGGTTTGTGTTGTTGAGAAAAGGCATTTGCAATGAATAAGTCATTGGTCTTGCAAAATTATTATGCACCAAACTATGCACATAAAAGATAGACAAGAGATGCTAAAACCAACCAATGTGTCCATAATACCACATTGTCATTAACACCAAACACTAGGCTATACAGATAAATACATAAACACCTGAGATGATCACACAGGGGTCAGTGAATAGAGTTATACTCTAGACCAAGGATAGAATCAGCTGAGCCTAATCTTGTACAGATACCAGTGATACAAAATACCTGCAGTCCTTACAAAAACAACAGATGACAGACACAGAGTAATCCCTCACAGACAACCAGACACTATGGGAGAGAGATCCAATAGAGCTACTACCTCAGGACCATAGTACTGGGGGACACCAGACTCAATTGGCACAACAAAATACATAAAAGTGTTGCTCCACATCCTACATTGGTGAGTAGAGACTGGGGTCTTAAAAGCTTTTAAGCAGCCATCTAAGATGCAGCTAATGGTCTCCTAGAATCTGAAGTGAAGAAGAACGCAAAAAAAAAAGGGGGGGGCATTTAGAAGCAATCAGGGCTAGGACACGATGGCCCTTGAGACCAGAAGAACTGGACGGTGCCTGGCTACCAATGCCAACCACTCAGCAAAGGATCAAATCTGGAGATCCTGGATAGAGTGAGAGGGAAAACGTGGAACTAAACCCAAAAACTCAATAATGACCAGAATTACTGGTCAGATGAAATCTGGTGAGACTCCCAATACTATGGCCCTGAAATACATTCGGCACCTGGAATAAAACTCACCCCCAGGGGCGGGCTCTCAGCCCAATAGTTAACAAGATGTACACGCAGACCACTCAACCCAGGATGCCGCATCCACACACTCAATGGTAATACATCCCTTAGAGCAATAGACCATGGGACACCAAAGGACCAACATTCAAACTGAGGAAATTCAGGGCAAACAGGAGGGCAAAATTAGGAGGGGCACGGGGGGGGGGGGGGGGTTGCAGGTAAGGAGGGGAGGAGACTGGGTTAGGGTTGGACACGGTGAATGAAAAATGAAATTAAATGTACGCGTGACGTTGAATGTAAAATAAGCTCTTAAAATAAAAATTTTAAAAAAAAGTTGTTAAAAGAAAAAAAATTCTATCATGTGATTTCCAGCTTATTTATACCTCCAAGGCTGTATTTTCCATCTACTGGTAACTCTTCTTTGTTTCCAATTTTTGCATTCCAGTCACTGGTTAAAATCAACACATCATGATTGCATGTTTGGTCAATTTCAGACTGCAGAAATTGGTAGGAATCTTCAATATCCTCATCTTTGGCTTTGGTGGTTGGTGCGTAAATTTGAATAATAGTAGTATTAACTGGTCTTCCTTGTAAGCATATGAATATTATCCTATCACTGACCCCGTTGTACTTCAGGACAGATCTTGAAACATTCTTTGTGATGACGAATGTCACACCATTCCTCTTCAATGTGTCATTCCCAGCATAGTAGACCATATGGTTGTCTGATTCAAAATGGCTAAAACCAGTCCATTTCAGCTCACTGATGCCTAGGATATTGATCTTTATGTGTTTCATTTCATTTTTAACAGCTTTCAATTTTCCTAGATTCATACTTTGTACATTCCATGTTCCAATTATTAATGGATATTTGCATCTGTTTTTACTCATTTTGAGTTGTGCCACATCATCCAATGGAGGTCTCGAAAGCTTTACTCTATCCATATCATTAGGGTCGTCTCTACCCTGAGTTCTTCCCCAGTCAAATTCTTCTGGCACTATATCAGACAATGTTTCAGGGGTATTCATAAAGTTTTCCAGTAATATATCAGAAAGTGTTTCACTGCTATTCATAAGGTTTTCACTGGCCAATTATTTGAGAAGTGGATAGCCTCTTCCTTCTTCCAAATCTGTCTTTGCCAAGAAGCTCCGTTGAAACTTGCCCACCATGGATAACCCTACTGGCATTTTGTAACACGGTGGCACAGCCTCTAGCCTCATAGCAACATGCAAGCCACTACAGGATGACAAACTGACAGACAAGTTTGTCTCCCTTAATTGTTCCTTATCCCTCTGCACCTGCCTACCTCAGGCAATGGCCTTAAAATAGAGCTCCCCACAAGTGAAAAGCAGCCCCTGAGCACTGGCCAGCCTACCTCAGGCCCCGGCCTTAATACAGAGCCATACCCAAGCAAAAACAGCCTCGATGCCTCGGGTCTGCTCAACTTAGGCCCTGGCCTTAATATAGAGCCACACCCAAGTGAAAAGCAGCCTCCAAGCCCTGGGCCTACCTCAAGCCCTGACATTAATATAGAGCCACTTCCAAGTGAAAAGCAGCCTCCAAGTCTCAGGCTCACCTACCTCAGGTCCTGGCCTTAATGTAGAGCAGCACCCAAGGGAAAAGCAGCCTCCAAGCCTCGGGAATGAAAATAAAAACACAATATAACATGATGTATAGGATGCAGTTAACACAATGCTGAGAAGAAATTTAGAGCTGTAAAAGCCTAAACTAAAAATAAAATACCAAATCAATAATCTAACTGTCCATCTTTAGAAAAAGAAGTGTAAACTAAACCCAAAGCATGTACAAAAAAGGAAATAATAAAAATTAATGAAATAAATAGAAAAACAATAGAGACCATTAACGAAATCAAATCAGCTCTTGGAAAGATCAACAAAACTGACAAACTTTTATCTAGACTGCTGAAGAAAAAAAGAGTGAAGATGCAAACAAATAAAATCAGGGATGAAAGATAAAGTATTACTACTAGCCTTGCTAAAATAAAAACACTTATAACAGAACGCTATAAATTAGTATATGCCAATAAATTAGATAGTCTAGACGAAATGCGGGAGCTCTGGTAGCGTAGTGCCTAAGGCACTTGACTGCTAACCAGAAGGCTGGCAGTTCAAATCCATCAGCCACTTCTCGGAAGGGAGGTTGGGCAATCTACTTCCATAGTGATACTGCCTCGGAAACCCAAGGAGGGGTCGCTATGAGTCGGGTCCGACTCGATGGTACATAACAACAAGAAGATGAAATGGACAAATTCCAAGAAAAATATGCACTTACAAAGCTTACTCAAGAAGAAACAGAAAATATGAGTAAACATGTAACAAGTAAAGAGACTGAATTAGTAATCAAAAAACATCACACAGAGCAAGCCTAGGAGCTCTCTGCTCCTCCCCGTTCGACAGACAGCTGCACCCTCTTGTGCAGTCCCAGCCACTTCCATAAGACACTACGGTGAAGGTCAGAGTAAGCAGATTTGGCCATATTGGGCACTTGGTCACCAGGACTGCTTTTAACTCTGGCAAAGTAGATGTTGTTGCCATCAATGATCCCTTCATTGACCTCAACTACATGGTCTACATGTTCCAGAATGATTCCACCCATGGCAAGTTACATGGTACCATCAAGGCTGAGAATGGGAAGCTTGTCATCAATGGGAAGCACATTGATCTTCCAGGAGCGAGATCCTACCAACATCAAGTGGGGTGAGACTGGGGCTGAATATGTTGTACCGTCTACTGGCATTTTCACAACCATGGAGAAGGCTGGGGCTCACTTGAAGGGTGGTGCCAAAAGGGTAATCATCTCTGCTCCTTCTGCCGATGTCCCCATGTTTGTAATGGGTGTGACCATGAGAAGTTATGACAACTCCCTCAAGATTGTCAACAATGCCTCCTGCACCACCTACTGCTTGGGCCCCCTGGCCAAGGTCATCCATGACAACTTTGGCATTGTGGAAGGACTCATGACCACGGTCCATGCCATCACTGCCACCCAGAAGACTGTGGATGGCCCCTCTGGGAAACTGTGGCGTGATGGCCGTGGGGCTGCCCAGAACATCATCCCTGCATCTACTGGTGCTGCCAAGGCTGTGGGCAAAGTCATCCCTGAACTGAATGGGAAGCTCACTGGCATGGCCTTCCATGTCCCCACCCCCAATGTGTCTGTTGTGGACCTGACCTGTCATTTGGAGAAAGCTGCCAAATATGATGACATCAAGAAGGTGGTTAAACCAGCATCAGAGTGTCCCCTAAAGGACATCCTGGGCTACACTGAAGACCAAGTTGTCTCCTGTGACTTTAACAGTGACACCCACTCTTCCACTTTTGATGCTGGGGCTGGCATTGCTCTGAATGACCACTTTGTGAAGCTCATTTCCTGGTAATGAATTTAGCTACAGCAATAGGGTGGTAGACCTTATGGTCCACGTGGCCTCCAAGGAATAAGAGCCTCCTGGACCACCAGCCCCAGTACTAGCACTAGAGGAAGAGAGAAACCCTTGGCTGCTGGGGAGTCCTTGCCCCAACTCCATCCCCAACACACTGAGAATCTCCCATCCTCTATAGTTTCCATCCAGACCCCCTAAAGAAGGGGAGGGGCTTAGAGAGCCCAACCTTGTTGTGTACCATCAATAAAGAACACTGAACCTAAAAAAAAAAAAAAGCAAGCCTAGGACTACAACTGCTTCATTAGTAAATGTAGCAAACATTTAAAGATGAATTAATGCCAATTTTCTAGTCTTCAAAAAACAGAAGAGGAAAGAACACTTAAATTCAATCTTTTAGGTTAGTATATTACCCTGGTAGCAAAACTGGAGAAAGATGTCATAAGAAATGGAAAGAGTCTGTGACCACCACGATAACATTAGGAAAAGGGAGGACACTGAATTGTGCACATAGGAGATAGACAACAGATGCTAATACCAACCAGTGTGCCCACAATACTGCATTACCATTAACACCAAACACACAAACATCTGAGAGGATCAGATGGGTGCCAGTGAACAGGAGTATACTCTAGACCAAGGATAGATTCAGCACAGGCTAATCTTGCACAGATACTAGTGATAAAAAATACCTGCAATCCTTACAGAAACAACAGAAGACAGACATAGAGTAATCCCTCACAGACAGCCAGACACTGTGGGAGAGAGATCCAATGGATCTACCGCCTCAGGACCATAGTACTAGGGGACACCAGACTGAATTGGCAGAACAAAATACATAAAAGCCTTGTTCTTCATCCTACTTTGGTGAGTAGCCACTGAGGTCTTAAAACCTTTCAAGCAGCCATCTAAGATGCAGCTAATGGTCTCCTATCGTGAGAAGTGAAGAAAAGTGCAAAAAAACAAGGGCACTTGGAGGCAATCAGCCCTAGGTCACGATGGCCCTCGAGACTAGAAGAACTAGATGGTGCCTGGCTACCAATGCCAACCACTCAGGAAAGGATCAAAACTGGAGATCCTGGATAGAGTGGAAGGAAAAACGTGGAACAAAATCCAAAAACTCAACAGGTGACCAGAATTACTGGTCAGACAGAGTTTGGTAAGACCCCCAATACTATGGTCCTGGGATACATTCTGGGCCTGGAATAAAGCTCACTCCCAGGGGCTAGATCTCAGCCTAATAGTAAACAAGATGTACATGCAGACCACTCAACCCAGGGTGACGCACCCACAGTCTATGGAAATGCATCCCTTGGAGTAATTGACCATGGGGCACCAGAGGGGCAACATTCACATGGAGGAAATGCAGGACAAATAGGAGTGCTTATGAGTGGCACAGGGGGAGAGTTACTGGGCAGGGAGGGGAGGAGACTGGGTTAGGGTTGGACATGGTAAATGGGGAGTGAAACTAAATGTACATTAATGTTGAATGTAAAACAAACTCTTAAAAAATTAAAAAAATAAAAGACATCATAAGGAAACTAGAGACAACTATCTCTATGAACACAGATGCAAAATCCCTCAACAAAATACTACCGTACTAAATCCAGCAATGTATAAAAGGATTATACACTATGATCATGAGGGATTTATCCTGGGAATGCAATATCAGGTTAAACACCTAAAACATTTGATGAATATAGCACATTCTATTAATATAACAAAGGAAAAGATCCAGACGATTAACTCAATATACGTAAAAAATCATTTGACAATATATAGCACCTTTTCATGATAAAAACAGTAAAACAAATAAATAGAACTAGAAGGGAATTTAATCAACTTAATAAAGGGTATCTAAGAAAAGATCTCTCTCTGAAGAGTAAGGTGTGCCTAAACCAAGTCACCATGTTTTCAATCACCTCATATGCATATGAAAGTTGGACAATGAACAAGGAAGACTGAAAAAGAGTTGATGCCTTTGAGTTGTGGTGTTGGAAAAGAATACTGAAAGTACCAAGGACTACCAGAAGAACTAATAAATCTATCCTGGAAGAAGTGCAGTTGGAATGCTCCTTGGAAGCAAGAATGGCCAGACTTCATCTCACTTACTTTGGTCATGCAGTTAGAAGGGACCATTCCTTAGAGAAGGATATTATACTTGGTAAATTGGAGGGTCAACAAAGATGGGGAAGGCCCTCAACAAGATGGACAGACACAGTGGCTGTAACGACGGGCTCAGGTACAGCAAGGACTGTGAAGCTGGTACAAGACCAGGCAGTGTTTCATTCTGTCGTACGTAGGTAGGGTCATTATGAGTCGGAGCTGACTTGATGGCACCCAACAAGAACAAGAAGAAAAACCCACAGTTAACATACTTAATGAGAAAGACTGACTATTTTCCCCTAAGATCAGGAACAAGAAAAAGGACACCCTAACGCTTCTATTCAACATTGTATTGGAGGTTTTAGCCAGAGGTTTAGGCAAGAAAATGAAATAAAAGGCACACAGATTGGAAAGAAAGAAATAACATTATATTAGCAGGTGATGCAATTTACATAGAAAACCTTAAGAATTCACACACATGCACACAAATTGAAAAATTAATTGAGAGGCTGCAGCATACAAGAGCAATATATAACAATCAAAAATCTGGTGATTCAAACCCACCAGCCACTCCTTGGAAGGAAGGCTGGGCAATCTACTTCTAGTAGTACTAGTGATACCACCTCAGAAACCCAAAGAGGGGTTGCTATGAGTCATATGCAACTTGATGGCAATGAGTTTGGCTTTGGTTTAGCAATGAATAATTTGAAAACGAAATTACAAAAACAACTCCACTTATAACAGCAGCAACAAGAATAAAATACTTTGGAATAATTTTAAAAAAGATGAATAAAACTTATATCTGAAAACTACACAACACTGTTGAAAGAAATTCAAGAGTTACATAAATGGAAAGACATGCTGTGTTTGTGGATTAGAAGACTCAATATTTTAGGAGAGCAATATTCCCCAAAATGATAGACACAGTCAACACAATCTCTATCAAAATCCCAACTGCCCATTTTATAGAAATTGACAAGGTAATCCTAAAATTCGCATGGAAAAGGGGCCAGAACAGCCAAAACAGAAAAACAAAGTTAGAAAACAATCATTTCTTTTTTTTTTCCTTTCCTTTTTTTTTTTTTTATTTATTTTTTTAGGATTTGGGTGAAGATTTACAGAGTAAATTCACTTTTCATACAGCAGTTCACATATACTTTGTCTCATGTCATTGACCAAAATTTACAATGCAGCAGCTCCCCTCCCACTTCCTCCCCATAGTTACCTCCTCCCAGTGTCCATCCCTTCATACTCTTCTGCACCCTGAGCTATCTCCCTGTGCATAAGCAGCCCTTCCTTCTCCCATGATTGTTCTCTCCAGGGCGTGTGTCTACTTGAGGTAAATGTTTAACTCACATGCCTGTACTTTGTTTGGCTGGAAACCACAGTTGTGGGTTCAATTCCAGACCTGAAGGGCAGCTAGGGGTCATAGTCTCAGTGGTTACACCAGGCTCCATTGGACCAGCAAACCTGGTCCCCACCTTCTTCTTTTTTTTTTTTTGCCTCCAAATGATTTTGAGTTTTGTATCACATTGTTCTCCCTCTCTATGCAGGATCTCCTACATCCCTTCCAAGTGGATGGCAGTGGTAGCTGGGCACCATCTAGTTCTTCTGGTCTCATAGTTGTATAGATTGCAGATCGGATGGTGTACCAGTCGCTAGGACTGATAGAAAACAATCATTTCTTATCTCAAAACTTACTACAAAGCTATAGCAATCAAAACAGTGTGGTAATACAGTACTGCATTGTCAGTGATGGCAAACATTGATCTATGGGTGGATAGATGAATGGACAGGCTGAATGATCAGTATATCCAGGCAGGGGGAAGTATGTCCATGAACATGTACAATGTTGGCAGATGATGTTTCTACAAGTGTATTTGTAGGTTCTATAAGAATGGCGTGGCATTCATCATCACAAAAAGTGTTTCAAGATCTGTCATGAAGTACAATGCTGTCAGCAATAGGATAATATCAATATGTCTACAAGGAAGACCAGTTAATACTATTATTATTCAAATTTATACATCAACCACCAGAGCCAGAGATGAGGAAATTGAAGATTTTTATCAACTTCTGCAGTCTGAAATTGACTGAACATGCAGTCAAGATATGTTAATTATCATTGGTGACTGGAATACAAAAGTTGGAAACAAAGAAGAATCACCAGTAGTTGGAAAATTGGCCTTGGTGACAGAAATAATGCTGGAGATCATGTGATACAATTTGCAAGACCAATGACTTATTCATTGCAAATACCTTTTTTCAACAACACAAACGGCGGCTATACATGTGGACTTCACTAGATGGAGTAAACAGGAATAAGACTGACTACATCTGTGGCAAGAGGCAGTGGAAAAGCTCAGTATCTTCAGCCAAAACCAGGCCAGTAGCTGATTGTGGAACAGACCATCAACTGCTCATAAGCAAGTTCAACTTGAAGACAATTAAAATGAGTCCATGAGAGCCACAATATGATCTTGAATATATCCCTCTTGAATTTAGAGACAATTTAAAGAATAGATTTGATGCACTGAACACTAATGACTGAAAACTAGAACTGTGGGATGATATCAAGAACATCATCCATGAAGAAAGAAAGAATCATTAAAAAGAAGAAAAGACTGAAATGGATGTCAGAAGAGACTCTGAAACTTGCCCTTAAGCAGTGAGTAGCTAAAGCAAATGGAAGAAATGACAAGATAAAAGAGTTGAACAGATGATTTCAAAGAGCAGCTTGAGCAGACAAAGCCAATTACTATAATAAAATGCACAAAGACCTGGAGTTAGAAAACCAAAAGGGAAGAACATGCTCAGCATTTCTCAAGCTGAAAGAAACTGAGGAAAAAATTTAAGCCTCCAGTTGCAATACTGAATGGTTCTATGGGCAAAATATTGAATGATGTAGGAAGCATCAAAAGAAGATGGAAGGGATACACAGAGTCACTGTACCAA